TGGAAGGGGAAAGAAGGGTGAAGACAGCGGGAACACTGGGAAGGCACAGGGCACACCACTCAGCTATGGATGGATCCCAGCTGCATAGCAGAAATGCAAAAATGTGCAAACCAGCTGTTGCTTCAGCTGTCAGCCTTGTCCTTTCCCCATGCATATAGGTGCATGTTTGCCTTTTTAAAAGCTATCCTTTTAAAAGTGCCAATTAAGTTTGTACACTTATCTGGCCTGAACATTAACTAACTGATTTTCTGAATCATGTCCCAGAAAATGCTTTGTGTAGTCCACCTGCCTACACACTGCCTGCATCTGGATTCCAGTTTCCAGCTAAAATGAGTTGGAAACTCCTACCTCTTTCCCTCTCTCTCTCATAATTCAAATTGCAACATTCGCTTTGAGTTTTTTCTTGGGCCCATCTTCCATCTCTCAAGGGCAACATCCTTTAGGAGGTTAAATTCCAGACCAGCAGGATACAGTCATATTCTTCTGCTCAGTCCCATGAAATGATCGTCTTAAATTATCCCTTGAAGAAACATCAGCCAATCCTTTCTGACCATCAGCCTAACAAAGGATGGTCTCCCAGCCCCCTTAATACTTTCTACAATGAAGAGTTCCTCTGTCTCTGAGTAGCCTGGCCACTTAAGAATCACCAATGATGACAAAATGTGGTGCCACTAAAGAGAGCAAAAGAAAAAAAACAGTGCTGTAGAAAATCACTATATGGTAATTTAGACATTATTAAAAACATAAAGATGCTAATTTATAAATAGTTATTCAATGTCAATAGAAAAACATTGCATTACACCCCATTGCAGAAGACTGACTTGGGAATCTCTGTTTGACCTGCTGTCCATGTGCTAACGGGTGATGGAGAATAGCTGGAAGTCTTTAAAAGAGGTTTTGACAAAGTCACAGATGATAAGGCTGTCCATAGTTTCTGGTCCTAACGGCTCTGTACTACCTGCAATATCAGAGGTAGGGTGCTGGGATGCTCCAGTTACTGGGGGACATGAGTGGGAAGGCCAGCAAAGAACTCTTGTGTGGACAAGAAAAAGGTGACGTTAAATTCTTCCAGTGATTTTCCAAGGATACTTGAAACAGCTGAAGCAATTTTGAATCACTTTTGAGGTTTGCTTAAATCCCTGTCCCTAGCTGGGCATTTAAAAGGATTACACAGCTTTATAGGTTTGTTATTAGAAGATCTTGCATTTTAAGTGCAGGAACCTCATCGATCCGTCACAGGTACAAACTCTGAACACATCAGCGAGGGACAAGCCTCATAAGAACATACCTGTTTACCTGCTTTAATAGATAGTTTTGGGGAATAGTCATTCCCTATATTAGGCTGGCAGTTAAAAATGCCACAGGAAGGGGGGCAGAGTTCTTGGCATACTGATTCACAACCCTGATGTGCACATACTGAAACTGCACACAGACAGTCAATCTACAATCTACACCTGCCCCAAACTAGTTAGATCTGGATCTTTTAGAAGTTTTTGCAGTGTCAGCAAAAATCTCTTTTTCCTGTTCATGATGGTGCTTTCTCTGAACACAAATCAATCTATCCTATTTTTAAAGTTCCAAAGATTCGAAGGAGCATGAACTCCATGCATCTCTAGGGCCATCTGGTTGCCTCAATGGAAGTATGATGGACTTCAAGAGCTGGCAACTGCCCGACCCAGGAACAGGATCTTGCCCTGAGGAGTCTTTTCTTCTTGAGGATTCCTCCTGTGTAATCAGTCCCTTCTCAAAGGGTCCCCAGTTGCCTGTTGGCTGAGGTGACAACATTCTTGGGAGTCTCCTTCTCAAGGGTGGAACTTCTCCAACGGGGATGGACCTGTAGCCACCTGCCCCCTGCGGGCTCAGGCTCCATCTCGGTGGCCCCTGGGCACTGTCTGTCTCTGCGAGCTCAAGTTCTCCCTCAGAAGAAGGTTCTCCAGGGGTGCATGCCATGCCCTCTCTCTGCTTGGATGTGTGCCTGGTAGTCCTTACAATACGCTATCACAGCCTTGGGATGAATGTGCATCCCATCACTCTGCAAACAAGGCCACTGCACTTCCCGTATCTTTAGGAGCCTCTGTGCCTCTGCCTGCCAAAGAGCTGTCACAGACGGCGATGGAGCGTGTCACCCATCAAATGCTTTGTGATAGCTTTCTGTGAAAGCAGCAAGGAGGTGTTGCAAAAGTGCTCCTGTTACTGCAAAATAAATCCCATTCTCCCTCCAGGCTTCTTGTATAGTTGCTGGTGAGGGAGACATCATTGCTCTATGGCCTTTGGTGACAGGTGTGGGAAACGTCCACCATCCTGGGCTGGGAGTGAGCTGAACAGCTTTACCACGTGAATGCGGTCAAAAGGAGCAAGAAGGACTCTTGACCCTGGGGTGCATGCAAATGTTTTGTGGTCGGCAAAAATGTCTCCTAAGATACTGGGAAACTAACAGGATGATATTGTCTAATTGATTGTTTCCTGTCTGCTCAGTATGTTCATTTGTGAAGAAATAGAGAGACATTTGACATTCTCTCTCCTCTCAAGAGAACAAAACTTTGTTCAGGAATTTCTATCACCGGGGAAGTATTCTGTGTAAGGGACAGAGCTGTCTTTCTGGTTCAAGGAATTATGTACTTTGGTCTGTCATTGCAAACACTTTAATGCCCAAAGATAAAACCTCCACAGCAAAGTGGATGCGTACTACATGGGCTAAATAAGTGGAGTTACAGTGCGGTTATACCAAACTAGGTCATTGACCCATCTTGTACATAGAAACATAGAAACAGAGCAAGTCAGAAGGGGTCTCCCGGGCCATCTAGTCTGACCCCTGGCTCCAGCCGGCTCCGCTCACAACATGCCCACCATGTGCATGTCCAGCCTATCTTTGAACACCCTCACCGATGGGGCCTCAACCACCTCCCAGGGAAGTCCATTCTCTACCCTCGGGGTCCTAATTGTCAGGAAGTGCTTCTGGCATCCAAACTGAACCTTGGTTTCCTGAGCTTGGCTCCACTGCAGTGCGCCCTGCCCTCCTCTGCAGGGGAGAACAGGTCCCTACCCACCTCTGTGTGACATCCCCTCACATACCTGTATGTCACCAACAGATCCCCTCTGAGTCTCCTCTTCTCCAGGCTGAAGAGACCCAGTTCCCTCAGTCTCGCCTCATACCCCATCCCCTGCAAACCGGCCACCAACCTTG